GACTGACTCAGGGGTAGATTAGGAACATGCGTCCTTTTGCGTACGGTGGCAGTTTGGAAGGCCGTAGGTGCTCTTAGACACTAGGGAGAGCATGGAAGGTTTCATCATCCGTAGCCTTGAACACTTTTCCATCCCCGTCTGAGAAGAAGGTACAAGCAGACCTGTATGGTCCACCACGAACGATAATCTGAGGAAGGTCATTGGGTCGATGTTTTTTTTTTCGTGGGATCCTTCCGGTAGTGGGTGGCCCTTCACAAGCACTTCTGCTGTGATTGCATCGAGCGTGTTGGATTTACCTTTAGTGGTCTCTAGATATTGCTCACGCCAAACACATGTTGCTATGATATATCGTCTGGTATTTCAGCGTGTATTGGTCTTCATGCAGCTGCTCACCCCAAACATAAATAATCCGAAACAACACAGAGCGGTGCAATGGCTTCATTTTCTTTTGTTTTCATATTTTTATTTAGATCGCTCAAATCCACACACCCCTCCCCGGCTACGATCATGGCCTAATCGATGAGGGCTTCAAAATCGCGCCCAGCCCTCTGCTTGATTGCACGAAGGTTGTTTTCCGAAGAATCTTCGGACTCGGACTCCATTTGTTCGCCTGCTCGAAGAAGGCCATTGACCCCCGGCGGTTTGATGTCAACCGATTCGGGTAACCCCCTCCGTAGTTTCTTGTTTCGACATTTTGTTGTGTGCATGCGCTACTACGCCAACTTGTGCGAAGATGCGAGAAGATTTTTGCAAACCCCATGACGGTCGGTGTTGATGGCGTTTCCATCGCGTGTCAAACCCCTGTTTTTCACGTGGTTTCCGGTGTAGTGAGGAGATTTGTCTGGGCTTGAAGCACATACTGCATCTGTCTGCATAGTGTGGCGTCTTGCATTTGGCCTGGTTAAAAAAAAAGAGGGCGAATGGGAGTCCCCCACAATGGTGCCACCGAGTCGCCCACAATGGTGCCACCGGGTGCTTTTGTGTGGTTTCACCAAAAACAAACACTTCACGCAAAACTTCAAACCAAATCAAACAGTGCATTTTACAAAGCAAACTGGCTTATTCAGATTCCACATTCAAGAACAAAGAACGAACTTCGAATGATTCACCCATACTTGCTGCGGTGGAAACTCCTTGCACTACTTCATTCATTCAAATACAACAGCCAAGAGACAAGAAGTCGTTCTTGATCACGTCCCCCAAACGCTAGATCCATTGGTCCACGGTCTCTTGTACTACAACATCGAGAAAACCCAAAAACTCGTTCGCGGATAGAGACATTTTGAGAGATTTTCTAAGTACCTTCCTTGAAAGGTCCAGCTCTCGGTGAGAGACCGGAACATACCTAACCTCCATCTCATGTTTGTCTCCCTCCATAGCCAAGGAGATGTGAAACAAAACGATCGCAGGAACCTATTTCACCGTCATCGATAGCCGCAAAATATCCACGATATGATATGTCGCAGGGCAAAGTTAAGTAGCGGCGCACTCGGACACCGCGCTGTCGCGATCCACGCGAACGAGCTGGTATTGGGTCGTGGCGATCTCCTCGCCGGATACGGCCCACATAGAAATTGTGGTCCACATGGAGTTCCCCTTGCGGAGGGCCGTGGCGGGGTCGTTGAAGAACTCGTTGCTGAGACGGCGGGTAATGGTGCCACAGCTGAGATCTTCCGAGAGGAGCACCTTCAACAAACAAGACACGGGCATGAAATTGTCGGTTGGTGGTGTTGAACACTCTACGATAGTTGACGGGACTTCAAGTACAAAAGTAGTCATAATTCTTCGATAGGAGGAGTCCAGAAAGAGTTTCGCTTTCAAGGCATTGGACAAGGACTACGCAAATATTGTTCGAGGAGAGTTCTTACAAGAAGTGTGGATATAATGGACAAGTTTAACAGCGTATCACAGTGCTTTACCTCGACGACGCCCTGGTCCGGAGTCCCAAAGAGACGGTTCTGGCAAACCCAAAGCGTGTTCTTGCGCAGCACCTGAACAAAAATTGCACACATGACGATGAGTGAGAATCGGTTTGTTTGTCTCACGCGGTCTCGCGCCAAAATGTTTTGGCCAGCACCCAAAGCATCTCAATAGGTTCATGCGGGACCATCTTTATTGCGTGCATCACTCGAGTTTACAGGGAATAAAAGCACAGGTCTAGAAACCTTGCAGCTGTGTGCTACGCATTGATGAATGGTCTCACCAGCCCGTCTCCTCCTAGAATGAGATCACCACCGAGGTCAATCAAGGTGGCCTTGCCAGTGTCCGGGTCAACGGCAAACAGCTCGCCCGACTGATAATTGACGATGATGAGGGACGAAAGGTCATCCGTGATCTGCGTGGGAAAAACGCACCGAGTACGCAACAATGTTTCTGCAGAGAAATTGGTGCGAATGGGCTTCAACCATAGCGGCGGTTCGGAGAGTTGGGCAAGACTTGAAGAAACATATTGGTGACACCGCGTGAAACCCGAACACCTCGCGTGCAGAGAATAAAGAGGAGCAATAGCACTCGAACGCCGCCGCGAACACCACGCAAACACATCTGCACTGAGCCTCATTGTAGGACAACACTCACCACGATGCCGTTGGAGTTGAGCGCTTGGTCCGCGATAATTTCCCCAGGTTGGAAGCTAAAGTCCGAGCTGAGAGGGATCACCTTTTCAAAGTTCACAAAGAAGGCAAGAGTAAGCTCGGAAGGAAGAAAGGATGATGGCCCACACGCGCTGCCGCCACATCAAGCCACAAAAACAATGATTTCTTCTCACCTCCGCCACGGTGTTCGGACCGTTGGGCAATCTCCCGTATTCATCCAGGGCGATCTAAGGAAGTCCAGACCGCGCGATTGAGGGATCAAGGGGATGGGTGTCTCCGTGAGATTGTGCGGCTACAGAGGCTACAGCCCGACACAAGAGTACATAGTTGAACGACGTCTCCTACGAGTTCTGATGGCGTGTTGCAAGCATTCACATTTCGAGCAGAGCTTACTGCCCTCTCTCGCCCTCACCCTATAGAATTGCAACTGCGAAGATTCGGTGATGTAGGCGTACTCCGAGCGAGGGTGGATGATGACGTCATTTACGAGAGATGCCCCCACGGTACCTAGCTGAATCTCTGCGACGAGGCTAAAGTCGTCCGTCGTGTCGTAAATCGCGAGCGAGCCTGTCAATTCGACGATGCAGGAAATTGCAGTGGCATGCTGTTCAAATTGATTTTTGCATCTCGTCGAACTAGATGACATCTGTGGGCAAGCACGAGCGTGGGCGGGATTCAGTATCCAAGCAGCTGTGTCGTGTTCGACTGGTCACCTGAAAAGGCGCCGCAAACCCACAGGTAGTCGCTGCGCCTGTCGAAGTCAATGCCAAGAGCGGTAGTACCGTTTCCGCCCTCAATGACCACGCTGCCAACACCAGTTTCGAGGTCGCCCTTCCAGATGCTCCCGCCTGTCGCTCAGGGCGAAAACCACCACGTGGCACCCACGAAAGATATCAAAACTTGGGCTGGGTGCCTATACTGTACATAGTTCACCTCACTGTATTGGTTATCTACAGCTCGTACGTATACGTCGATTGCAGATAAGCTAACCGAGTGAACGCCAGTCCACCCTCTCACGCCGATCGCAACCAACGTTCCACTAACGGAGAGAATGCAGACACCTCTACATACGAGAATGCAAACGAATCTGCAACAAAGTGAAGGACTTGAAGAGGAATTTCGTACCTGACAGATGTAGGCTAACGACGCATCTTCAAGTTGCGCGCTGATGAGGATAGGCGCGTGCGGCGAATGAAGAGTGCTAACACCACAAACTTGAACATCTACAACTGTGCACTGCATCACACGCGTGTTATCAACTCTTGGCGACTGTGGTGTGCGTTCTCGGCGCAAGGGAAAGCTGTATGTTTAGAAAACTGTGACAACTTCGGCAGCACGGCATTGTAGAGGTTCCTGTTCGGTGCCGATATGTGCGCAGAACATGGACCGGCACCATACTAGCCAACGGCAGGCACCACAGATTATTGGCGTACATTGGTGGTTCCCACCTTGTCGAACACACAGAATTTGTCGAAACGTATTTGCATCTTGAATGGTTATTCTCTACCCCCCTCAGCACACATTTTGTACAGCCTCAAATTCGCTTGACCCTTCAAATGCACGTCGCTCAGGCATTTTCCCGAGAGGTGGATCTCACAGCTGTCCATAAAACGCTCTAGATGTGTCTTGTGGGCAAAAAGCCGTGGCACTGGCCTCGCACGAAATCAAACCCTTTCGGGTCAACCTCACAGCAGTCGACGGCAGCGAACGAAAGACACCCATGTACCCGATATACCTTTGATGAAAATTTTGCGCATATTTCGATATGTGTATCACCGAGAGAACGAGAACTACAATGTCCCGATGAGGGACTCCAGAAGCTTCGGCAAGAGATGTGCCCATAACCTAGTGTTCTATATTTCGAATGTGTTTTGTCGGGAGAATGAGAACTACAGTGTCCCGATGAGGACTCCAGAAGCCTTGGCAAGAGATGCCCGTAGCCTAGTGTTCTCACCGGTGAAGGCGCTGACGTACACCTCTTGTCCGTGCCCGAGTGTCACGCCTTCCGGCTGGAATCCGACCGGCAGGTCGATCAAATCTAACCTCCCGGCCAAGACGGCTGGCACAATGGCCAAACTCAATAGACTTCCCAGACGAATCATTGTGCAGGGTAGATACGCAGGCCTTTGGTTTTAAGGTGAGACAAGGGAGAAGGAGAACGTATGGCCGAGAACGTATTGCCGAAGGACTCTCAGGCACACAGGTCGAGTCTCGACAAACCTCATGATGACATGCTTCTCATCTCGTATCAGTACATGCGTACATACCACGTTTGAATGTCGGAGGTGGGACGATATCCACACCAGCTTGTCAGGCCACGCGCACAAATCGTGCGCTGTGCGCCATGTGCATAGGAGAATAGATGCGCAATCATCACGAAACAAGCTTCTCCGAAACAACCAAACACGGACGCATCACGTGCGAGGGTTGCCCTAGCTCTCACCTTAGCAAGTTCAAGAAGGGCGGTGTTAAAACTGGGTCCCGCTGTCCTTAGCTTCGTCAGACGACACTTCTCTTATGGGCAAGACCGCCGAATGCATCGTACCTCGCACTCCTCACCCGGCGGTGCAAAAAAATAGAACCCCCCGCGGCAACTTGCCCAGGGCATCTTGCCCGGGGCAACGGGGAAAAACCGCCGAATGAATCGTACCGCCCCCTTCCCGACTTTCAAAAAAATGCCTTTTCAAGCCGCACTCCGAAAAAAAAAGCAAAAAGGAAGATACCTATACAATTCAGGTTGTCGTTGTATGAACCGAAAAGGGTTGTGACAGCTTACGCATCAAGGAAACACAAAATTATAGCTGTATCTAGCGGAACCGTGCGCTCCGAAAAAAAAAAGCAACGGAAGATACCTATACAATTCAGGTTGTCGTTGTATGAACCGAAAAGGGTTGTGACAGCTTACGCATCAAGGAAACACAAAATTATAATAGCTGTATCTAGCGGAACCGTGAACGGCCCTAAGAGTTTACACCCCAGTCGGTAAAGCAATCATGATTGATGTGAACGGTGAAAGTTTAATATTCACAGAATACAGCCGGTATATCCCGGAGAATTGCGTCCTAGAACGAGTGTTCGTCGGTATGAAAAACAGAGACCGGTTCTAGAAACGTTTCGGCGAGACCAACCGAACGAAAAAAAAACGAAAATATATAGAGGTAAGGAAAATTAGCTCAAGCCTGAGGGCGCGCCGCAGGCCTCCGTTCCGCGCCTGAGAGCGAAGCGGCGGGATCGCGCCTACTCTCAAGTCGACACGTTTAGCGTCGAGTGTGAGAGCGAAGCGGCGGGATCGCGCCTACTCTCAAGTCGACACGTTTAGCGTCGAGTGTTCGCGCGCGACGCCGGGGCCGCCGCTCGACCTCCCGCTCCGCGGAGCCCTCCGGGAGCCCCCTCTCAGCGAGACGCCGCCGCTCGGGGCTCCGGGCGTCCAGCGACGGGCGAGCTGCACGCGCCGGCGGGACGGCTCAAAACCACGTCGTCGCACTTTTTCTCTCCACCTCGGGCCCCTCCGCTCGGGACTGTCGCTCCAATCTAAGAATCAGCGATCCGATTGGTGGCTAACCTCTTTCCGTGTTTTTGAGAACTTGAAGCGACGTGTGTGGTGTGTTGTTGCGTTGTTGCTGTTGCTGTGCATTGTGCACTGCAACACGCATCTGTGCATGTATGCACTGGATGTGGTAATATGTTGTTGTTGCGTGACCGATTTAGGCATGGCGCGTTGAGAGATGCAACTTTGCTGTGAGTGGTGCTGCCGGCATTTTTTTCTGCAGCTGCGCGATGCTGCTGGGATTGCGCGTGCGGCAAGCTGTTGACATCAAAGAATACAGACGGACGTGTGTTCTTTCATTCTTCACCATTCTGTCGGTGTTTTTTATTAACTTCATTCAACCTATCTCGGAATATGAATTTTGAAGAAGAAATGACAACCGCGTGCACGTGACGCACGTTACTGCATGCATGTATCGCGGATCGTGTACGTATATCTATAGCAGGTAACAACATACACATACATACATGCGGTACATCCCCATGTTCCTACCTTTCGTGCACTTACTTTAGCGATGGTGCATGAGGAGTGTGTTTGGTGGACTGTTTACTTCACCACCTGCGCGTGCGCTGCGGACAAACTTCCGGAAATAAATGACAACTTGCGGCATTCATTGTGACAGAAAAACTGGCTCTCGGAACTCGGAACACATCACATGCATCTCGCTCATGTTTGTTTCTCGTGATCAGCTGTGTGTGCTGGATCTCTCTGCGGTATGTATGTACAGCCAGTAGTGGTCCGGAGGACGACAGACACCGGGTGTGTGTGTAGTGTGCGAACATTAAACTTTAAGGAGCTGATCTAGACTGACTGCTGTAGACTATGTAGTATGTTGCTGTATTGTGGTATGCAGTCTCGGCTGTATGTTGCTATGTATGGTACAAGCCACACTTGCACACGAAGACAGACAGGTCAAAGCGCACGCCACGCGCACCCAAAATAGTAGCAGCCAATAACAAGGCAAAGAAGTAAGTGCAGTTTTCTTCTTCTGTTGCTATACGGTATCTATCTGTCTTTAATCCGGAGAGTAGCGTAGACTCCCCACCGTGACACTCGGTCACAGGGTCCCAGATTGTTTACTGTAGAATATGCGCGTTGTGTGTTTCCACCGCACTGAGACTGACGTCTCCATTGGTCAGCCGGTTAGCGCGGTCAGATGCTTGCTTACAGCACGGGCCGCAATTAAGAAACATTCCACGAAGAAAAAAAGGCTCAACCTTTTAGTAAAAATAAGTACAAAGGACTATAAGAAACACAGCTCAATCTCGGCCACAACATAATAAGAAACGTCCTAACAAGAAACAAACATGATCGTGCGATACCCCCAATACATGAGAAACAAGGGTTGCTGGGGGAGCGTATCCAATATGAAACGTTTTCCACTGCTGCTCCTTCCGTGCTCCCACTCCCCCCGTACCTAGCTGGACAACGTTTTTTTTTCGTGGGGGGGAGAGTAATTGTTGGCGCTGTCCCCCCCACCTCCGCGTTATTTAGCTACCGACTCGGCGCCGCCGCGGGCTGCTTTACCCACTGCTGCATGGATGTTTGGTGTTGTAGTATGCATCTTCTTAGTTAGCCAGAAATTAAAGAAGAATATATTTGAATCTTAACAGAATCAGGATGATGCGACAGTCAAAAGGAATTAATTAAGAACAAATGCCTTTCTTTTAAGAAAATGGACGACTGACTTCGGTTGGTCCTTCGACGCAAAGTAAGGGATTGAGCCTCGACCCGATCTTGACGTTTCTTATCTCCGGGCCCGTACTGTATACTAAAGACAGACAGGTGCACACACACACATTACATACATTATGGCTACAGCAGGGTGTGCGCCAGAAGCTTCAACGTTTGTTCGACAATTAATTATTTTTGCACTTACTTAGTTTTGTTTCAGTGAAAGAAAGAAGAAGACGGCAAGTGGATAAGGAGAGCATGATGACGCATCATGCATGCATGCATGCTTCTCTCGACTTGAACCTGCGTCTGTCTGTCCATCGTTCTTCAGCTGTATGTAGCGAACAACCGTCCCACTTGGTATGTATTGTAAATGTTACCGTTCGTTTCGTATGCACATACTACATGCACTCCAAACGGGGGACGAGGGGGGCGGTAGCCCCCCGCGTCCACCGATAGCGTCAAATGTTGGCGCGCGACGCAGGGGCCGCCGCTCGGCTTCTCGCTCCGCGAAGCCCGCCGAGAGCCCTCTCTCAGCGAGACGCCGCCGCTCGGGGCTCCGAGCGGCCGGCGACGGGCGAGCTGCACGCGCCGGCGGGACGGCTCAAAACCACGTCGTCGCACCTGCGTCTCCACCTCGGACCCCTCCCTCCGCTCGGGACTGTAAAGAACAAGCGATCTTACTGGACGGAACTGTCTTCACCACCTCAGGTCTTCTTCCTCCAACGATGCTCCTGCTACCAAGGCAGGAATCCTCTTCAACAACAGCACGGAAGTAGACCATCAACGCTACGAATGCTGTGTGACAAGCCTGATCTATCTTCGTTTTTCTGTGTCTTTCGGTGTTGCATGTCTCCGGCTTCGCAACACCTATGATGTAGCCATGTAAACTCCAGGCACGCCGTGTCACTGCCTGACCTTTCTATCTCTTTCGTGTTTAGTTTTTGCGCGAATGAAATGCCTCTCGGTGTCGTTCGGTTTCCTTCTTAACTTTGCGTACTACCACCTATCTTCTCACGAACGATTTATCCGCGACTTAGACATGTAAGTAACCACGTAGTAAATACATCACCATATTCAGAGTACCTTATGTTGCCACGTACCACACTTACTTAGACAAGCGGCTTAGACATGTATGTATGTAGTACGTGTAGATGCCACGTACATTTAGAGTGAGTGTCGGCTACCACTTTCAAAAGATGAGTGTGTGTGTGTAAGTGTTGGCTACATTTTGAGTGTACGCTAACGATTGGTTCCCAAGGGACCCGTTTGCCGTTCCCGATTGCGTCTGAACAACGCTGTCGCTCTACATTGTAAGTTTTACATTTTCAACTTTGCATGAATACATAGCGCGAAGAATAGTTCCGGCCTAGATTGCGCCTTAGTCTGGAGTATCACATTAGACTTCATAGAGTATCACATTCGAGTTGGGACTGTGTCGTTTCCTTCTTACCATGTAAGAGCCGTCTTCAGAGCTCTACTTCACGGTGGTAATGATTTTAACACCGAACGTCGAGTAATGCTTCCGGTGGACATTGCAAGTGCGAAAATCTCGCATATATATCGAGATTGTAAGACCGTAGTCTAGAGTATCACATGGAGTACATACTGGAGTATCACAGTAGAGTTGCGACTGTGGCGTTTCCTTTGCAACATATGTATAAGAGCCACCTTCTAAGCTCTACTTTACGGCAAAATGGTTTCACATGGTACGCCGCGTAATGCTTTCGGTGTGCATCGCAAGTCCGAAAATCTCGCATATCGAGATTGTATGTACTTCACGTTGCGCCGAAGAATAGTTCCGGTCAAATCTTCAGTTTGTGGTGTTTTTTCTTTCGTGGTCCACGAGCTGCCTTCACAGCTCGACTTCTTCGGGAAAATAATTAAATCATATCCTGACCACATCAAGCACGTCCCACTTGGTATGTGTTTCAACGCCCCGACGTTTCCCTCTCCGCATAGAGCACCAGCCAAAACGAAGGACGGGGGGGGCGGTAGCCCCCCGCGCCCGGAGCCCTTGTATATAATAATATCTCCCCCACATTTTTCAAGATAAACGATGCGGCGCATCCTGTTTCACCGCAAACATCGCCGACGCAAGCCTCGTTCTCCACGGCAATCGACTCCGCTTGGTCGAATTACATACAGAGGACACCACTCTCGACGTCATCAGACCTAATCTCGTTCTAGGACGGCCGTCCCGACTTGGGCCTGGCCGTGGCTCGTGGCAGCCTCATGCAGGTAGACCGCACAATCGAAATCCGAGGGGAAGAGAGGGTAGTGAGACACAGCG